GAGACGAGTTACCTATGGAATAGGGTGTGTATGGGGGATGCCTTCTCTGTCACCTTTATCCTCTCTTTATCCTCTCCTATCATTTCTTGTCTTTTGACATTTTATTCTTATTTTAAGATGGATATTACAAAAAATCGTAAACTGTGATTTTGCGATTTTCGCAAAGCAGAGTGACGAAAATATCCAAACTTGGAGTTGTGTATAATTCATGAGACTTTAATCCACAGAATTCTTTGGAAATATTTACACCGTAATTTTTAGGGAGTTATTATAACTCCAAAAATGGAGTAAAAATTTTAGGTACAGGATAACCCCTTTTTGGGGGTTATTTTAACTCCTAATTTAACTCCGAATTTGGGGTCATTTTTACTCCTGAAAAAGAGTTCTTTTTACTCCTAGTCTGGAGTCAAAATTACTCCGAAATGGGGTTACTTGTACTCCTTACATGGGTTGTTTTTACTCTTTTTGGAGTTAATTTAACTCTGAAAGTGGAGCAAAAATTTTAGGTACAGGATAACTCCTTTTTTGGGGTTATTTTAACTCCTCAATATCTGGGGTCACTTTTACTCCTGAAAAAGAGTTCTTTTAAACAACTTTTTGGAGTTAAAGTAACTCCACGAAAAATAACTCCACTGTAAGGATTTAAATTAGCCCCACTAGAGGAGTTATTATAACTCCCTGAAAAGTACGGTGTAGATAGACCTAGTTAAGACGAGGAGCGAGGAGATCAGATAACGGCTGTATTCACAGGTTACTAGAATAAACTTGTTCCTGGTAGTGAAACTTGGACTAAGGTGCTCAGGACGGAAAGTCAATCTTACACCCATTCAGGTATCATCGAGTGCTGTGCGTAAGAAGTGATCCATATTAAACAAACTGTAAGAGTGCATCATTCGATGCCAACGTCTTTATCACAATTAAAACCACCATAGCACTTAGTTTGTTGTCTTTTTTAGTATAGTCTTCTTAAGACCTAACCCAAGCCATACCTAGATTGATCTCTAAGGAGCCTAATTCTAATCTGCTGACGAGCGTCCCCATCACATTCATAGACGAGTCGTCCCACCCGAGTAGTGTGGATCCATTGTTCATGAACGAGAGTATTTTTAAGAACCAATAATGTTTGATGTATGTACCAAAAAGTTTCCGCAACATGTACATTAGGGGGTCACTTGTCCTCTTATCACTTGTGCGTCATTTTACTACTGTAAATCCTCTATAAAGCCCTCTATCTCAAATAAGCCCTCCCCCGCTAATACGCCACCCCCTATTCAAGGGAAGAAAACTTTAAAAAGCCCCTCCGTCTCTTTCAAGCCTCCTATCCCCTCCCCCGTTATATGTTTTACCAATGAATGATATTCTTGACTTGAAAACTTCATTTGGATTGATCCTGAATGATTTATTCACATGTTGGAAGTTTGGATTCATTTTTAATCCTCGGCTTAAATGACCTCCAATTTCTTGTACTTGGTCTTATCCACTTTGCATTCTAGTTTTTTTATGGAGAACTGATAAAACCATCTTCCCTAAATCAAATAAGCCCCACCCCCCTAAATAAGCCGCCGGCTCTTTTAAGCTCCCCCTCAAACGTGTTTGAAATAGATAACCACCCTGGGGAGGGTAAAAAGAGGATTTACGGTATATGGAGGAAACTATGCAACCGGAATGTTTGCAAGGAACAAAAAGGTGCATTCGGCGAGATTTATCACTAAATCGACTAATTATTATTTTTTAATTGAACCAATGACAGGTTGGCTTCTAAGACCTATAATTCGACTGGTTATATTTATTCTAGGTACATGTACGATAGAATAGAACACTTTTACTATGCTCAGAGTTATGAGAGCTTATACGAGCTATGTACCGCATATAGGTTCAAGGATATCAAAACATTAACAAACAAAAGTGCCAAAAGTACATTCGAACTTATCCCTTTAATCAAAACATCATTGTTTAGTCGGTTCGAATAATATTGTAATAGACAACATGTAAACCGAGGAACCTCTCCTTTGGAACACCTTTATTAAAGGGACAGCTCCATTCAGGAGCACAAATTTGGTCCTCTATTGAAGGGACACCTCTGTTCAGGGGAGAGGGACACTTTTTCTTGGTTCCGAAACCCAGGTTTAACCTTCATTCAGGAGACACCTTAGCAATCAAAAAGTGACTGATCACAAAAATCAGTGATATGTTTAAGTGCACACGAGTCACAATGGCGACTGCTTTCAAAACATGAACTACCTCACTTAAACTGATGTACTGCACTTGTGGGAATTCAACACACTACATTGCAGAGACAATGATCGTGATTTTTTATACATTATCTAGTTCCTTGAAATAATGACTGCAGCACATTCTGACGCAGGATAAAAGAAAAAGGCTTTCATCGTTGGTTTATTTTAACAAACCCTAGACCAACCTCTAATAGGGGGGAACCTCTATTTAAGGGACACTTGCTTTGGTCCTGAGGGTGTCCCCTGAATAGAGGTTCCAATGTATGCCGGTCCTTAGAAAAAGAAAAAGGAGGTCACTGTATTTTGTTAGGTACTGAAAATTGATGATTAAGTCAGTTCTTAGTTAATAAACTATGCTATCCTTGAGGTCCCCCGGCAATCCTGTCTTGTCTATAATGATCTACTTTATTAGAGGCTGTAATGGAGTGTCGTAATCTCGACTCTCCAAAGGAGAAGAGAAAATTTGATGTCAAAGCACATTCTCTTTCCTTTCTCGTGTAGGATGAAATTCTGTCCTGGACAGCACAGGAAGGGTAACGCGTTACAAGGGTAAGGGACGGACATATAAGGATATCGACGGAGGTTATGTTGATAGAACTCTGTTAAAATCTTAGTCTAAGGGACACATAACCTGCGAGCAGGCGTTTTTTTTAAGGACGAGGCGAGAGGAGAGAGACATAAAGGGATAATATGGAGAGGGCATGATGTCAGGATCTAAGGGACACATTGTTAGTTCTACATCGTGGGACATAATATCGCCAAAAATATCAAAATATCGCCACATGTGAGGAGGGAATCTGGATTTCGAAATCCTTAAAATCTGGAATCCAGGGCTTTGGAGCCGGAATACAGCCAAGGGATTCCTGAATCCCACTAACGATTGGAATCAGAATCCAAGATCCACTGACAAAGGCAGGAATCGGGTACCTGGAATCAGGAATCCAAGGAGTGGAATCCACAATTCAAGACTGTCTTGGATTTCCTCACTTTGGGCGAAAAAAAAAATCAAGGATCCAGAATATCCAAAGTAAAATCACAGCAATAGACTTAGGCGGTCAAAGGTGACACAAGTTCAAGACATCGTTTCGCAAAATATCCCTGTGGCTTACACCTTACAGAGAACATTTTGACGGGATTTTAGTTATAGCAGAGACATTTGGGATTCAAAATTATCGGCTGGAGTTCTACTTGGAGGATCTGAGGAAAATCAGGCATCAACTATGAATTTTCCACATCCTAATCCTTTAAAACATAATAATGTTAAACACATGAGCTAAAAACTTTGTTGACAATAGAATGTCATAAGTATATAAGCCTGAACTTTAAGCCCCCCCCGGTCAATTATTTTATGCGGAGATCGGTCGTGTTGGAGACAAGATTTTTTTTTCAAATCACATTCTTCAGTCACTGCATGTTCTACTGACGAAAGTACAGTTACCATGAAGTTACCAAAAAAAAGCTCCAATTGATCAATGATAGATAATTGATTGATAGATAATTGTAGGCCATTCTTCTCATTCTTCGTTAGAACTATTCATTTCTCATAACAAATCATAGCAAAAATAAGCAAGAATGGTTACCTCACAAAAAGTAAATTTTGCGGGCATGCGCATTGCTTTGACGTGTAGTCTGGATATCACTTGTTAATGTAAACGCTACTGTTCTTGTTCTTACTGAAGAAAGCGTCGCCGGCGGGATCACATTACCCGATCGTGAGTTCGCGACTAAGGAATTCCCCCATTCTTCTTGCCGCTTTATAGCCAAATTCATCTCAAGGGTGCTGTTGTGGTCCTTGTTAACAGTCGAGCGCAACAAACTTCGTCCTAAGCAGACTACAAGTATAATTAAAATTAAAGTGAATCGATCAGGTGAAGCCCAGTTTTTGAGATAGATATCAGGGGACTTTTCAGTGACAAGCACTTGACCCAGGGACTTTGCCTTGTCAAATTCCCCCACCCCTAGGGAAAAATGTTAACTTTGCACCGCTCATTTTACAATCATCCTGGCTGGCCACGAGTCCAACCCCATGCCCCCCCCATCTAGGGGTAAGCCGATGACATGCGCATTACAGTTATATAATCATGCATAAATGAGTTACACAAAACAATTACCAGTTGTATTGCCTGGTGACGGCTGTGCTGCTCGAAAATCGAAAAAAATCTTGAATCTTCAAAAGACAATTATTCACCGACCTATTTATTAAAATACAAAAGCAAGTCTTTCACAAAAAAGGACAAATAGCCAACAATTTTTACGCTAAAATATTAACTACAAATATTGATACCTAACTACGTTGTTATTATTTAGTTAGTACGTTGTTTTAGTATCGTACGTTTTTAACTGCAAATACCTTTTTGTCTGGATGTATCGCACGTTTTTAACTGCAAGGACCTTTTTGTCTGGATGTAAATTGTATTCTCCACTATTCATACCTCACTGTTATGTAATTACGTATTCTTTCATACAAATACGCGACTGAAAAGATTACAAATTAGTAATGATAATAGGACTGAGTTAAGTACAATTCAGGGAGTAATCAGGCGAGTTAATTACGAGCCCGGGCGATTACCCCTGAACTGTACGACACAAAGTCCTATTACCAATTAATTGTATCAAGAACAAAATGCGAGAATCTCAGTCTTGGAATATTTATTAATGTAAGAGAAGGATTCCAAAGCGAAAACATGTTCGGTTACAACTTTGCATGAAATTATCGGAATGTGGAAGCCCGATCGCACGATGAACTTTTTTTCTTATTTAACAAGCTGTCAAAGCCTAAAGACCAGTTAGTTTCATCCATTTTTCTTTTCAGTTGAAGCTGAACAGCTTACATAGTCGCCATTTTTTTTATTGATTTTGATTGGTTATCATGTGCTATGTAGTTACATTTCATTTGCTACTGGCATTTGCCACTTGATTTTCATTGTTTTAGCTCTTTACTACAAGTACCTGACTTCTACGGAAACTGCATTATTTCCCTGCAACAACTAAGAGCTGAGTAAGCGCTCGCGAATATGGTCACCTTTTTCGGAATTACTTTAAAAAAAAACCGTCAAGCAAAACTGTTCCTACTTTTTCAACTTTTCCACAGGAAGTTCTTAAAAACTGCGAGTTTTCAATCGGCATATTGCATACCGTTCTTTCTACAATTAAGAAGTTGGATCGAAGTCTTTCAGTTCATCGATTATCTCCTGCATGGTTGGTCTCGCCCCAGGCTCTCTTTGCATGCATCGCCACACCAGGCCACGAAACACACCGTTCGTTACCAGCACCACTTGTTCGTTACGCCTTTGAGGATCTGGAAGCTGCCGGATGCACATTTCGCAAAGAAGAGCACCAAAGCTGTAGACATCAACCTAGCAACAATAAAACATAATTTGAAGAAGTCAATATTGTTTAAAAAAATGCAATTTACCTGAGTGTCAAGGTATTTAGCAGGAAAGTATTAATTGGGGACACTATTTTAACGTCTCCAAATGGACACACGATCGCCATTTTACCTGGTCATCCAAGACACGCGAAGGTCCAGCCGCTTGCAGTGTAAAGGGAGTGCCTTCATTTCTAAGACCTTAAGTATTGGTCCGACCCGGGGAATTGAACCCTCCAACTCCCGCTCTTCAGTCAACGACTGAGCTAATCCTGCTGCAGTTAGTAAAAATCCAACGAGGTTTGCTTTTAATAGCCTGCGTCGAGGACGTTATCTAACCCCGGTTAGAAAAGTCTGCAAAGTAGCGGTGAGATCCTTGTTCTGGACCCCTATGGATTCAACGAATCACCGGAAGAGTGTTTCGAATTTCCTTTCAAAATGATTGGTAAATTGGCAATGGCTTCTTTAACAGGCCAATCATGGCGCGTACTAAAATCTTGATACAATGGTGGAGGCTTAGAACAAAGAATTTAGGCGCTGTTTCGCAGACGTTACTTACTGGGTTTGGTTACGTTACGTCTGGAACGCAGGCTAGGTTTTCATTGCAGGGGTATTATTCGGGGCAGTTGTTCAAAACAGGTGAACTGAGTCCTCTGAGACCCAAACCGGAGAATTACCGTTGCGGATAAACACTGGGGTCCATTTGGAGGCAAAAAAGCTCTTTAATATAAGAATCTATGAGCGAGATTTTGAGCAAAAATAGCGATTATACGGGGACTGTAGACAGACCGGAAAAACCCTTTTCAAATAACATTTTTCCGCCTTTTATCCTACAGGGACAACTTTTAGGCGTCTCGTTATTTATATAATCTACATGTTGTAGTGACTAAACGTCTTAAAGCTGCACCGGAACCAATTCACTGATGAGATGGTCTAAATGAGGTTGACTGATAACTTACAAGCGTAGGAGGGGGGAGAATTTGAGCGCGCGAAAATGCGGTCAGAGCACGAGGGAGCTCATAGAAGGGATGATTGAAATTTCGCCGTTTAAGAGCACAATTAAGACCAGATTTCGGTGCTCACCGATGGATTTGGTTAATTTTAAACAATGAGCTAAATATGGGCGTTGTGGCAAAATCACCGCCAAAAATGGCAGATACTTGACTAATTTTGAACAGATTTACAGGTATCTTATAAAACGAGAAATTCAACAGGACACTTTGCAATAAAACTGTCCGTTGCATAAGTCAAGAGGCTAAACAGGTACAACAGTTTTCTACTCAGCTTAAAAAAGAAAAACAACAATAACAAAACATAACACTGTGCCATTATAAAGCCAACAAACTAACGCGGCCACTTCTTCCGTGATCCACGACGATGACAATGGAAAGAAGAAACCACGACCGATACGATGCATGGGTAAGGGTCACTTAATTCTTATGTTAATGTTAACAGCCCTGAACAGTGACTAAAACTTACCTTGATTGTTTGGTTTGATGTAAGTGCTTCAGGTCCGCTGTAAATCATAGCTCCAGGAGCCACTGTCATTGTCTGCTGCATGAAATTAGCAGTGCCATAATCTGACACTTTGCCTCTCCATTGGTCACCCTGTCGCCATAGCAACACATTCGCACTGCTGACGTCACGGTGAATGATAGGCTCTGGTTTCTTTCGATGAAGGTAGTTCAGGGCACGTGCTACATCCAGAGAAATGACGGCTATTTCTGTCTCGGAGAGTTGCCGCTGCTCCAACAAAGTGCGCAGACTTTTCTCCATCAGCTCGGTCACAAACAGAGGAGTTCCCTCATCTTTCGTGGCGCCGATGAACTGTAGTAAGTGAGGATGGCGGCATTTAGAAGCGATATTCATTTCTCTTTCAAATAGATTTATGTTATGACGAGAAAGAATCAACTCATGGATCTGTTTCACTGCTACAGAACAGCCACAATACGTTCCCTCATTGACAATTCCCCATCCTCCCCTCCCAAGGTATTTCCCTGTGATTTGAATTTCGTCCCGAGGAATAACCCAGTCACGTGTTTCCTGGTTCCGCAATTGATTTATTGTTTCCTGTGCTGTTGAAAGACTTAACTGTAGTTCAGAAACTTGTCCTCGGCAATTGGTCAACTGCTGTCCTATCTCCCTCAGTTGCAGCTGCAACTCCACCAGCTGCCTCTGGGAATTTTCTTCACGTTGTCGAAACTCCCTCAGCTGCCTCTGGGAATTTTCTTCACGTTGTTGAAACTCCCTCAGCTGCCTCTGGGAATTTTCTTCACGTTGTTGAAACTCCCTCAGCTGCCTCTGGGAATTTTCTTCACGTTGTTGAAACTCCCTCAGCTGCCTCTGGGAATTTTCTTCACGTTGTTGAAACTCCCTCAGCTGCCTCTGAGAATTTTCTTCTCTTTCCTGAAGCTCTCTCAACAACCGCTGCATATTTTTTTCACGTTGTTGAAACTCCATCAGTTGCCTTTGAGATTTTTTTTCTCGTTCCTGAAGCTCTCTCAATAGCCGCTGCATATTTTGTTCATGTTGTTCAATATCCGTTAGGTGGCTTTGAGAGTCCTGATAACGTTCTTTAACCACTCTTAGTTTCCTTTGTAAATCCTGCTCGCGTTGCTGCATCTCCCGTATCTGTCTCTGGAAGTTTTCCCCACGTCGCTGAAAATCCCTCCACTGACTTTCTATTTCTGAGGTTCGCCTTGGCGAATTTGCTTTGCGTAGATTTTGTTTTTTTTCTGAAAAGATAATTCATGATCAAAAACAAAACAAGGCAATCATAAAAATCACCCTAGTAACATGGGCAACCCGATTAAGTGTCACCTAAAAAAGAAAAATTAAAAATTTTGACTTCAAAGAAAATTTTAAATGTACTGCGTTCCTCTCTTGAAACTTGAAACTTGAAACTGAGCGACACATAAACTTAAGAGATACTGATGAAGAAGATGAAAATCAGAATTTCGTTTCCCTCCGATTGTCACTAAATAATTATGGCTTGCTTGTAAACTCACACAAAATATTGAATTGTGTCCAAGAATAGACCCTTCTTTTAACGAGCTCTCATTTTTTTGTTCAGATGAACCTTAAATCAGTCGATTTGATATTAAAACGTTTCGACACGATCCAGTCCAAAATTGAAATCACGCTCGCATTTTTAGTCTAACTGCTTATCCCATAGGACGTTGCATCTTTTACCGCACAGCGGAAACAGTTTTTACCAATTGCCAATCTTCCTATTTCTGTTAGTGACATGTCCCCTCCCCTCTACTTTATCGGTCTTCCTCTCTCCTTTTCTCGTCTATCTTTCCCTCCAAGATGATCTTTCCCAAGCCCTAATTTCTTTACATTGGCCAAAATACTTCAGCTTTTGTTTCTTTTAAAAAGGGTAACTTACGAGTTCAAAAAAACAATACACTAAATCTGGAGTGCAAAGACATCCGTGATGAGTTTTTAGAAAACCTGAATTTTTCCATATAAATTTTCTATAATTTTGATACTGTGGAATTACAGAAACTGTATGGGAAAATCAAGCATCAAAAATAGGAATTCAGGAAGAATTAGCGGGCTTTGAATTCCAATACAAATCTTTGAATTTCCCTCCATCTTGCCCTGATTACCTATGATGCAACTATGAGCGTGAACTCCTCTCTACAAGCCCACATCGCTGAGGTCTGTCTTTTGTAACGTCATACTAGATTAAATTTTTGTAAGTGCATTTTCTGTTCTGCACGATGAGGACTAAGGATGTGCTGCGAGATTTGCCATTGCTATTAAATTTGCATTTGCATTTGCATCTCAGTATTTGTGATTTGCTCTTAGTAATAAGCTTATGTGTTACATTAGAAAACTATTTCAGTGAAAATTCTCGTGATATGTGTAATAAACAGTTCACGTCATAGAAAGTCCTTTGTACGGGGTCATATTCACGACTTGTTTGTGTCAAAAGCGCTCACTGGCTCGTATCTCGCTCGTTCAGGTTTTTGACACAAACAGCTCGTGAATATAACCCTGTACAAAACACTTTCTATGACGTAAACTACATTTTTGATAAGAAAACTACTGAGGACGATTCAGGGTCAGGGGGAAATTTTGGCGGCGGAACCGTCAGCGCGAGAGAAGAATGAGGCGCGCGAGGAAGCAATTCACATCAATCGGTTTCTGAATTACAGACTAATGCAGTTGACTCAAAGCTTTCATTTAGTCTTGAATATGATCTGATGTTTTTGACTCCAAATCACTAGAATAGGGGCCAGACGGATATCATGCTCTACTGGCGTTGTTGCTTTTAAGAAGACCAGTGTTGTTCTTGTAGTCTACTCCTCTTGACACTATTAACAGCAAACAATGTTTTCACGCGAAGATTCCCGGTTGACAAAATTTATAAGCGTTAATGTATATGGATGGATATTTTACTCATTAATTATAAATATTTCAGCCCAGCTATCCATACAAATGTACGGGTTTAACCAAATGCTTCTCAATTAAAAAACACCAAACTAACTACTCTAGCCATAAGCTTGAGCCACCTGTTTTTATAAACTTCAGTACATACGGTAAGTTTAACCTTATTCCTCTTATTATTCAAAAACCAAAACCAAACTAACTTAAGCTACCCTCACCATATTAACCTTAATCTGCTTGTTTCCATAAAAATACATTTGCACAGAGGTTCAACCATGTACCTCTTTATTCCAAAACCAAAACTTAAACAAAATTTTGGAAATTACTTTGGACACTTTCACCTTTGATTGGGACGGGCATCTTTTCAATAAAAAGCTGAAGCTCATTTAGATCAGCATCTTTTAGTTGAACAGTTTGTCCTTCGTGACCCCACCAGTCTTTTAGTTCTTTAATGGTAACTGTATCCTTGGTGACCTTTATTGTAGTTTCAGGCATAATTACGAACTGAAAAAAGTAAGGAGAGGTCACGTTAGTATTGGATTTACTTCCTTGAAATACGTACTGTAGTCGATTAATAGAGATAAATCAATAAATGAAGAGGTCAATAAACTGTATATTACTCCGATATCCGGCAGTATAATCGTCATCCGTGATCAAAGTTCACCCAAAAGTCTTGCGCAAAGTACAGCACAGCTTTTTTAGTTTCCTCAACGACATGGAACTTAATCACAGTACAGAGTAACCGTTGAATGTTAATCGTTAACAAACATTGCTCAATTTTTACAAACCTCTATGAAAAGCGGACACTTGGGAGGGTCCCGAAGGTGTCCGCTGAATACCTGTGGGGGGGGGGGGGTACTTGGCTAAATTTTTACTGGGTATGTGCCAGTCTTGTCTTGCCTCTCAGAGCCCCTACCCCATTATATTCTATTCTGTGACCAATTGCAGACCCCATCTTAGTCACCTTTTGGAAAATATGTAATTTTCGCGATCCCAAGTCAGTCACTTTCTATATTTATGAATTGAACCATTTTTTCAACTGAATGAAGAAGACTTTACTTTTCACCTACAGTACAAACATTCTGGTACGTTTGCTAACTGTAAATATGAAGAACTGTCTAACCCCAAAAACTCCGAAAATGTGCGACCCCATTCTAGTAACTCTATTGAAAATGCGACCCCATTATAGTCAATCCAGTCATCAAAATGCGACCACATCCAGCGGCACATTCCCATTAACCTCTTACTCAAGAAAGTAACCCCCCCGGGGCTTAATAGAGGTTTCACTGTACCTCCTCACGGAACTTTATGATAAAGTAACACAATCTCCCAAATTATAAATAGCAATCACATGATTTATATGATAACATAACGCTGTTTTTATATCTCATAGCAACCTTATTTCCGCTTTTTTGCCAGTTGTTGTAATCAAACGGTCAATCGTTGATATTACCTGATGAGTGTGGTCATCTTTTGGCCGCACGAAAGAGAGCTGTAGTAATAAAACGATGCACTACCTCTGAAGTCTTAAACCATTTAATTATAATTGTATTGTTAACTTATATATTTAAAACGCTTTCACTCCTAGAGTCATGGATCTATAAAATTTAATTAGTTCTAACTCTTGAGCCCCTGGACGAAACCCCTCTATCAGTACTCTCACATGGTACTATTTCTTTTTAGTATTGGGCGAAATGAAATTTCGACTTCTCTGTTGATAACGTTTTGATTTTGCTGATTTTGTCAGTGCACTCTTGGATGTGGAAGAGGAAAAACATCAATAACTCACATACCATCCCGTCATGCCCCGCTATCCTACTGGCATATAAAATGCGGCAATCGTTGAACATCGCACGATACCAAAGTTGTAGCTCTCCTTCTCCATCCTTCTTACCGCGCAATGAGACGGTACCAAGTACAACACAAAGCTGTGTATATCCCAACTGACTGACCCAACTGAGCCAATCCATTTTGTTTATTGGAAGTGCACCTCGTCCCCAGGCTCTCATCCTACTGAAAATTGTTGCTGCCTCAAGGACGGTATGGACTGGATTTCTGCGCCGAGGTGTGTTTTATTTTATTTCGTTTGTTTTTATTTGCCATGTTGTGGAAACTCCGATACTAGATCAACAAAATGCACATTCTGAATCAAAGTGACTTTTTTCTGCATTTGTTTAAAATGCCTCGCGCTCGAGCAAAGTTTACATGTTAGTTGACATAGCACCGCTTACTCAGCGGCATATTTCAAACACTGAGAACTTTTTAAAGTAAACTTTAAAAACAATGGCCCAAGAAACGAGAAATGGTTCATAGAAATCATACTCCAAAGAAATTCTGTGACTGAAAACCGATCAAATACCAAAAAGCTGCTGCAGCTCACAGGTTTGAAGAATAATCTAGGACGGGGAATTTACCCAACCACATACAGTTTCTCTTTCATTTTTAAAACGCGTTATATCACGTCTGGGGTCAGTGATCCTCTTTAACCTGTCAGACCAGGTTTGCTATTAAAATGCAGGTATATATATTCTGTTTTGTAGTTTGCTCGTTTCGCTTATAAGTCACGGTGTAAATGGTATACGGTACAAGCGAAACAAAAAATTCTGGCTAAATATCCTCGTCTGATGCTTACTGTGTCAGGGAAGGATGGAGGGGGATTGGAAAAAAACAGGCTGAATTGCCTGAAGAATTCATGCAAAAAAGAAGAAATAGAAGAAGGAAAAACCCTCCAGAAAACCTTTTCCCCTTTTAGTTGACCATTAAAAGTAAAATACCTCCCTTAGCAAGACAAACTGATCAATCTAAAAAAGCCACGTGTCCAACTCACCTGACTGGGAAAGAGAAAACTTACAGTGGACTGCCACGTGAAAAGGGGGAGTTGCTAGTTGATCATCTAAAGGGGACCAGTCACGATACCATTCTCAAACTTTTTTTTATTTTTATCATCGAGGCACAAAATATTGGCGTTCAGTCCTGAACACCTTGAGTGACAACTACAAGTTTACTCCGCTACAAGGCGATAACCATACATCCCTTTCCTCCTAGTTATTTCAAGTTTTTTTTCCTTTTGTCTTTTAAAACGAGCTTTTCCCTTGCTTATGTTGTGTATAATGATAAAAAGCTTGTGTGTTTCACACCGGGTATTAAATTTTTTTTTTTAATAATTTGAATAGTTGTTAGTTTCCCTTAAAGTAGAATTACTCAGAATTCATATAAAAAGTCCATTTCACTTACCAGCGTCTTCCCACCACTTATATGGCCAGTCGATCTGCCGATCCACTGAAGACGACTCTTGACAGTTATAATAGAAAAAATAACTTCACTGTAACAACGAAAGCGAGAATTTGCCCTCGCAAAAAATATTAATGAAAATTGACCTTAACATCAATTTATTCAATTCTCAGAAAACCGGAAATTGCGATTCTGAGAATTTAGTTTCCCACATTTTTTCTACACAGGAGCATGCCCAGAGATTCCCCAAAAAAGATAAATAGGAATTAATTAGAATATGTTGATTTTCCACCAACTAAATAAACTGAAAAAAGATTGCCATAATTATTGTGGTTAACATCTTTACTCTTAACATATGGTGTTCTTTATTCTCAGTATTTAAAGGGTAGAATTTAACCAACTCAGTGGATGTTTTAATTGTAAATTTTTCAAATTTTGCAAGGCCAAGAAACGAAAATATCGAAACTTGTAAGAATTGTATCTTGTATCTAAAGAATTCTCTCTTTTTTTTTAATATCATCACAAAACAATCGTAAATTGTGTAAATTTTGTTTCTGACCCTAAGGCCTCAACGAAAGAGTTGGATCGGACTGTAGAACAATAAACTAAGGCAAGCCTGCGAATACAGCCATCTCTCTAGTCGCCACACGCTACCAGAGACGTTTCGCGGGAAGAGACGTCTGCGATTTGGCCCCCAAAATTCATTACTGATGATGTAGATTTGTCCGGAATCTGGTCAACAAGGTATAGTATGATCCGTCGACGTAGCAATTGCATTCTTTTATAGCTATTGCTTACAAATGGCAGTTAAAGAAAGACAAAAGGCCACATCGATCAAATATAATGAACTGGCTATGAAACTACTGGAAAACAGCTAGTCATTATTTACAAGAAGCTTGACTTTTGCTGCCACTCCTTCGCGGAATATTGGCAGAAAAGCTCAAAACTTTACAATAATATAATACGTCAGTCAACTGTTGTTTCCATAGTTTTTCCCGTGTTCTACGAGTAAAAGTTCCCTCTTTATTTCAGTCGAAGGGCAAAAACTTATCGCAACTCGTCAAGGTAGATTTCTGGACTCTTCGCTAGCATAACGAATGGTGAGAGGTTCTATGAGATTTTTTTCATATCAAATTCACATTCACTTTCACCAGGGAAAAAAAACGTTTTTTTCACTTCACCTTGTCCATCGGACAAGTACTTTGCAGATTTTGGTTGTCCGAATATAAAATCCACTCGTCCAAAGAAAATAAAACGCTGCCAAAACAGATTTCGACTTTGCGACGCGTGGGTTTGCCAATGCGACTAGTTTTTACTCAGTGGCGACCAAGTATTCACGCCTGGTTGCCAATCTGGCCTCCAAGATATGTGACCTTCTTTGGGTACACTAACCATGATCAGTTATTTGTTAGAAAACTAACGGATAGCTAACGGCTTTTCTAACTTTCAAAGGGTTTGCCCAAACGGTTTTTCTATTTTGATTGCGCACTCGATTTAATATGATAACAATTTGCAGAAAGATAATCGAGAACAAACGTCGTCTATATCTCGGCGCTTTAATATTTCTTGAACTTCTTGTAAACAACTTTAAGCCCATCGCGTAAAGCGTGGCATAACGACCCAAATCAAAGCTCTGCTGTATTTTATTAGCCTGCAGTGCAGGCGTTTTCTTCGGGCGCGCGAATGTTTCGCTCGCGAAAGCACATATTGAAACTCGAAAAGAGGGCAGAAAATGGAGCGAGTCAAAAGGAGCGGGGTAGGGGGTGGGGAGAGAGAAGAGAAAACGCCTGCCCGAAAACACTGTGAAGATGAGAAACACCCCCTAATTGGTCGTGCTTGACCGTTGCTCCGGAAATGAGTGTCAGACAAATCAACACCGAAGAACTATTGCACCGGAAGCTCTCTTCATTTCTGATAAATTAGACTGCGAGCAGTCTCTCTTTTTCTTCAGATTTAGTAAGGAGAGTGCATGCGCGCGCGAGCGATGAGCGGCGAAGCTGCGAGACGCGAGAAACGAGGGCGGCAGCCCGAGAAGAAAAAAAGAGACCCTAAGAAAAAATAGTAACCCTAAGGGTAGGTGCTAAGGAGCAAGAAGGAAAGGGGGGAGGGGAAGGGGCGAAAAAAATACGCCTGCCCAAAATCATTGTTCTTTTGGCAAACTCCGTACGCTGACAAACGGAGCCCTTGATTGGTGCGGCTTAGGGGAAGTAGATTGATGCCTGTCAATCAAATGTCAGTCTATATTGTTTATTGCGTTTTCGTTTGCTGCATGCAACTGCGGGAAAGAATTATTCTGAATTCAGAAATGGCGGACGCCAGAGCGATTTTTAACTCTGCTGTCGAAACAAGTCTTTTGGAATTGGAGCGGCCGGGAATGTCGGGTGTGTTGCGCAATGAAAAAGTCAAAGCGATTTCTACACTGGCATCAGGACAAGATTTGCTTTCAGTGCTAAAACGCTATCCCACTTTTACCTCATGCCAAAATGCTGCTTGTTCCAATACGTTTTTTTTCTCTGGCGGGTAGGTTATGCTCTGGAGGGTTCTATGTTTTGAGTAAGCAAATGTGACTTTAGCCGTTTGTTAAACACTGAGAGGTCATGACGGGCTTGTTCATTTCCTGTGGTTTTGAATTTCTGGTCGGCATGATTTGCCCTCTGATGCAAGACTGAAGAGCATTTTCTTTGACCTCTTTCGAAGCGTAAAGCTCTTTCCTGTGGCTCAACAAGGCTTTTAAGTCCTTTATCTTTGTCTCAGGATCTGAATAACTAAGCGATTTTCTTCTAGTCCGTGAATTTGATGTTTTCCTGATCTTGCATCACGCTGGGCCCAGCTCGTTAGTTTGTTTGCAAAGGAATTTTCTTTGACCTCTTTTGAGGTCAAAATAGGGCTTTTAGGCTTTTTAATTTTTTCCAAAAGAGAAAAGGATAGAGACTTTCTTGATTTACCTTCAGTCTTTTGAAAACGCTGCTTTACCAAACCTTCCGCCATATTAATTGAACATCAGTAACTGGTTTCTTCTAATAATGTTGTCTTTTTCATGCGTATGACCAACTTTATAAGTAACCCTATTCTAAAACTAAAACCCTGTTCTATTTGATAGAAAACTCTATGATATACTTAAGCGACCAATCTACTCGTATCTCGTATCGTCTATTTTGTGTGGAAGACTTACTTCATAAGTAAGTGATAACTGAATTTATGTGTAATCGATTTTATTTTTCATTCAAAATATTTCACAGTTTCTGATAGGCTTAAAGCCCCCCGGCTAATTTTTTATAACCCACTGGTGTTTACCACATTTGGAAGATGCGAGCAATTCCCCAGCGATTCGGTGGTATATTGACTTGGAAACGAATTTGATCAGTCAATGGTATATTGATTTGGAAACGAGGTTGCATGGGCAATAGACCATCGGTCAACTTCGTTTCCAGGCGCGGCGGCCAAAATATTAATTCACGAATAAACTAAAACAAAATGACGTTCACGCAGCTATTTGTAGACGAAATAGCTGAGTTTCTGACGAAAACGCGCGGAACGGAATGAAAGCAGGAATACGCAAAACATATTGCTCTATGGATGTTATCTACTTTCTGAGGAATATCTGCAAAAAACTCTGTTTATATCCTGAAACTGCATAAAAATAGGCCAAAGCTTAGAAGATACATGTAGTATGCGAGGAGGTAAGCTTGCTAAGAACTTAAAAACATTTTGAATGAATAATTAAGTTCAGCCTCGGTAGATTTCATTCTCCTCGATCTGTATAATTCTTCACATCGTACTCAGCCCCATTCAATAATTGCTAATTATAAGCAACCTGTTGGATAGGAAACCCTAATTACAGTTGTTTAATGTGCTGGCTAGTAGGCAGATTTAAACGCACAACCTAAAACGTTTTATAAGCCATATACTGATATACTTTATGAGTAACGTATGAGTTAAATACTCTATTCTACAAAAAAGTTACCTATTGGATAGGAAACTCTAATTACAATCGCTTAATGTTCCCTGCTCTCCAAATTCAATCGTATATCGTAAAACATTTCACAAGCCATATACTGAAATAATTGTTTCTTCACTCAATATTGTCTATTTAACGCAATGCCTACTTCATGCGTATGACCTACTTTATAAGTAAGTAACATGAATTTAGGCAAATTTTATTCTATGAATAAGCTACCAATTGGATAGAGAACCCTAATTGAAAAAGCCTAATGGGCCTACTAGATTTAATTTTATATCCTAAAACTTGCCATTATAAAATTATCTACTCTTGTCTTCAATTAATATTATCTATTTTATGTGCATAAATTTCGAAATTTCGTCAGAATTAATTGAAAAAATATTTTATACGTAACTAATAGCATAATATGTTAGAATAACGAAAAATGTTCTCAACGTTATCACGTTGTTAGTCAAATATTCAATGGTCTTTACAAAAATAAAAACTTCTGCTCTAACGATCAAATAAAAAGCAAGCTTAGGATATGAAAATGACGTCTCAGCGATATCGTCGTAGGCCTTACTTCTTTTACCAAGGTTAATTCTAAGCATCTATTTGCCATCACCCACAATAGTAAATGTAAAAAATATGGCTTTTGGGCATGATTACTAAACTTTATAAAGACCTCGCGTTCTCTTTGGCGTGAAATAAACACACTTCGCTGAGTGTAAAACTGATTTGGCAAAAACACCAATTTTTCATAATATACGACGATTTTTAACCTTGATATTTTTTTCTAGAAATACTTTTGTAAACAACCTTGTCAGGATAAACAATTCGACCTGACTTTCCGTAATAGACATTTTTATAGATTGCCACGCCATTCTATCAGCAGCGACAACTGACAGAACTGATGTTACACAGCTCTGGATAATTCATCGATGATCTCCTGCATGGTTGGTCTCGCTTCAGGATCTGTCTGCAGGCATCGCCGTACCAGGCCTCTTACAGCGCGGTTCGACATAAGAACAACTTGCTCGTCACGCCTTTCAGGATCTGGAAGTTCCCCGATAGACATTTCACATAACAAAACACCCAAGCTGTAAACGTCGACCTAAAAAAGAACAATAGATATGTACTGGTGTTGTCTCAATGGTAATTAGTTTTACTCTGTTTTAAATGAAAAGCAAGCTCTCGGAAAATAACACTATGTCGATCCAATCCTAACAACTGTGGTGATTTTATGAGTACGCCTGGTTTAATGATACAGGCAAACCAACATCTTCTTTTCTTAATCTAGGACATCTCCCTCACGCGAATACAGCTTTTTTTCCCTTTCTTTATGCGGAAACAAAATTTTGTGTAAAGGAACCGGTAAAAGTAAAAGTACCAGACTGATTTGGAACAATCAATAATAAACCAAGTCCACCAAATTGTATCCCTGTTGAATGGTTGTGCAGTACTCAGATCTGAAACAAATGATTACCAACCTTAGGAGTCTGATTTGAGGAAAGTGCTTCAGGTGCACTGTAAATCATAGCTCCAGGAGCCACTGTCATGGTCTGCTGCATGAAATTAGCAGTGCCATAATCTGACACTTTGCCTCTCCATTGGTCACCCTGTCGCCATAGCAACACATTGGCACTGCTGACATCCCGGTGAATGATTGGTGATGGTTTCTTCTGATGAAGATAGTTAAGAGCACGAGCCACATCCAGAGAAATGACACGTATTTCTGTTTCGGAAAGCAGCCGCTCTTCAAACAAAGCTCGCAAACTTTTCTCCATTAGCTCTGTCACAAATAGTGGACTTCCTTCATCATTTGTGGCGCCAATAAACTGTAGCAAACAGGGATGGCGGCAAGCTGAAGCAATATTCATTTCTCTTTCAAATAAAAGCCTGTTATGGCGGGATAGAATCAGGTCATGGATTTGCTTCACCGCTACAGTACAGCCACAGTAGGTACCTTCATTGACACTTCCCCAACCTCCCCTCCCTAGGCAATTCTCTGTCATCTGAATTTCATTACGGGAAATAACCCAGTCGCATGTTTCCTGTCGTCGATGTTCACTTATTGTTTGCTGAGCTAATGAAAGACTTAACTCTAGTTCATTTACTTCCTGGTCTTTTTCTCTCAGCTGCCTTTGCAAATTTTCTTCACGTTGCTGTATCTCTCTGAGCTGCCTTTGTGAGGTTTGTTCACGTTGCTGTGTCTCCCTCAGCTGCCTTTGTGAGTTTTCTTCACGTTGCTGCATCTCCCTCAGCTGCCTTTGTGAGTTTTCTTCCCGTTGCTGCATCTCCCTCAGCTGCCTTTGTGAGTTTACTTCACGTTGCTGTGTCTCCCTCAGCTGCCTTTGTGAGTTTTCTTCACGTTGCTGTGTCTCCCTCAGCTGCCTTTGTGAGTTTTCTTCACGTTGCTGTGTCTCCCTCAGCTGCCTTTGTGAGTTTTCTTCACGTTGCTGTGTCTCTCTCAGCTGCATTTGAAGGTTTCCTTCGCGTTGCTGCTGTCTTTGCGAGTTTTGCTGTAACTCCCTCAACTGTCTTTGCAAATTTTCTTCGCGTTGCCGCATCTCTCTGAGCTGCCTCTCTAAATCTCGTTCGCGCTGCTGTACTTGTCTTGATGGCCTTGGTGTTGGCGTTTGTACGCTTGCTCCACGTAGATCTTGCATTTTTTCTGTAAGGGTTTGACACAAGGAAATTAATTACTCAAAGTCGCCCAGGAGAGGAGGAGAGTATGTCTTAGTAGCAGAAAAAAGAAAAAAGAGAACTCTAAATTCAAGTATTTAAGGCAGAACTCATACCTAAGAATAAAGAAAAACTACTGCATACAAGGTTCATTTATAACATAACAAAAGTACAGCGCGTGCTCTGATTGGTCAGTTAGCCATCTACCATTTGCGCGTCGCTGCACGCCAAGAAAAGCTAGCGCGGTAAACATTGGAGGCGACTGGAGCCGTTGGAGCGAATTTACGGCCGTTTTCCTTAAGTGAATCGGTCGGGCCGCTTCGCTGGAGTCCCCAACCTTGGTAAAACTTTAAATAGAGAGAAAACTGTTTACAGTACAACCCATAAAACGGCCACAAATCGGCCCGTGGACCACACAAGAGAGACGTAACACACATTTTATGTAAGGTAACCTGTAATCCTTTTCGTAGGTCACGGAAACGATAGGTTTGTTCCCATACAACTGATACAAATCCCCCGGGGGGGGGGTACTTTAGCAATTTCTGGGTGGGGATGAGATTACATACATTTGATGGCACTTATCTGGAATGGAAGGATGACTTCCAATATTTAGGGTCATGGGTTGATAACTCAGAAAAAGACATCAGCATAAGGAAAGCACAGGCTTGGAGAGCTTTGAATGGTATGACGAAAATATGGAAGTCCAATATGAGTAAAGATTTGAAAATCAGATTCTTCATAGCCACCATCGAATCAATCTTACTTTATGGGTGCGAGAGCTGGGCTCTGTCAAAAGCACAAGAAAAGTCGTTGGATGGAACATACACTAGGAAGCTGCGAAAAGCTTTAAACGTCCACTGGAGCAGCCACATACCAAACCAACAACTGTACGGAGATCTACCAGCAGTCAGCAACAAAATCGCCTCTCGTAGACTACAACTTGTGGGACACTGTTATCGCCATCCAGAGCTAAGTACCCAGAAATTAGTCCTATGGGAGCCCACACATGGTCATCGCGGGAGAGGAAGACAGAATACTACCTATATTGACACTCTTAAGAGGGATACTGGGGCATTCGAAGCAAGTGAGATTGCTGTACTGATGGCTGATAAGAGGCTGTGGGAAGATCTAGTGGTTGCCCGCCTTCGGGCGACCAAGTGAGCGTGAGTGAGTGTGGTGGAGATACACCAGAGCTAGTTCAGCTGAATTTTGTTACCCTATGTATTAGAGTAAACTCCCCAAATCCCCCCTAACCTAGAGTAGCTGTTTTCCAGAAACTACTGAGGTCACTAGCAAAATCTAGCCAAAACAAAACCGTATACCACAATCCCTCGTCTAGGTAAAATCTTCAACCAACTGATCAGTGTCCTGAAAAATGATACCCTACTCTAGACCCAAACGCTCTGATTTATACACCCGATCCTAGAGTAAACTGCTTGAAAACCATAACCTTCACAGCGGCACATACCTATATAGCCCATATATGGCAGTACCCCCCCGCCACCGGTACAAATCCTTATATTTCGAATATTACGCAACATTGCCGACGTTCGCCGATATTCATATTTCGAACTTGGGCTACCAGTGTTGAAAGTAACAAAACGCGTCGACTGTTGCATATGTGCTTCATGAAGTCAAAGTTAAGACTCGGCCAAGCTGCTCAGTGGCAGTTATTCTCGCAGGCATCCATGTTTAACATGTTTACTGCTTTGGATGGTGTACTGCTTGAGAGAGGCTGTATTTTTATCGGGGTTGTAAATCCGACGGCGTGTATACGTAAATGCATGATAAACTGGCGAATCAGAGACCGTTAATGCTTGTGCTTGAGGTCCCTAAGGAGGTTTTGCCCTGAGTTTAAAATCCTTAATTTTTAAATCATTCCCCCCAACTGACACAACACCACAATTTCTTTGAAAAAGTAAACCCCTTACTTTCTTACTCTACCGGCATTTTTTCGAAGAAAAGGTATCCATCTCATGCATACGACTTCAGTGTAAAAAAATGTTTAGTGCCCCTTTCACTCAACATTGTCACTTTCAGACTGGTTGTTATAACTTCCCACAAGACTTAACGTTTGGCAGCATTTTTGAGCCACTGCGCCTTTGGCAATCAAATCTTCGGGTATAGAACAAGTCCTAAACGACTTATTTCGTTGAAACAGCAATGCCTGACATCAAAGCAGGAGGTCGTATGATTTTTTACAATTCTAATAATTCTAAATAGCAAACAGCTGTTCTGTTTGCGTTTGTGACATTAATGGTCGCAAAGTTAATGCGTTAGTGGCTATGTTTTAATTATGCCGAATTATGCCGAACTATTAACGCCAGTTATAACTCAAGTCTGGAATTTGCCGCTGTCAACTCACACCTAGCTGGACTCTTGGAAGAGGGCGAACATCAACCCCCTACCAAAGTTCGACATCCCCTAAGAGGATTCTGTCTACCGAGGCATCAATGTCACGTCTAAGATCGTAAGAACATTCGAAAAAGTTGTGTACCACACCCATGTCAAAGCGACAAGGGAACCACCCAAGGAAGCGTAAGCGGGCCTTCTATTTAATATATTTTTGAATGACCTAGAAATTTCTTACAACAATGCTCCAGCTTTACTTAAATATGCTGATGACTCTACAATGGTGTCTCCTGTTAGTAATCAATGTGATCCGTCTGCTAACCTTGTGGGACAATTCATGACATGGTCTAAAGATAACATGTCTTGCAATCCGAAAAAATGTAAAGAACTTATCTTTAGAAGTAAAGGCAACAATTCTCAATATGACCCCGTATTTGACATTTCTCAATGCAGTAGTCTTGTTTTACTGAGGGTTACGATCCAGAGTGATTGTAAGTTTCGGGCGCATGTTAATTCTCAAATTGATTAAAGCAAACAAATGTATCCATGTTTTAAGGACCCTTAGAAAAGAGAAATATTCACAAGCTGAAATAGATCACTTGATCACTGTCTTAGTTTCGCCTAATTTTATTTATGGTTTACCCGTATATGGAGCTTCTGAACCTGATCTTAATATTATACAGAACGTTTCAGATAGATGTCATAAACGCCGTTTTATTTCTTACCCCGTTTCAATCAAGGATCTATTAAAGAATCAAGACTGTAAAAATTTTAAGAAAGTAACTTCAATAAACAATCACCCGCCAGCTTCATATTATATTCCTTCAAAGAAACTGAGTCTTTTCTTATAATCTCCGTAAAAAACAATGTGCCCGTCCTAAATTAAAACTGTAACTATCGGGATTTCAAATATGAGTGCAAAGAGCCAAAACCTAGGAATCAAGACGTAAAACCGGAATGTACAAACAACGGGGATTTAGACGCAAAATGATACAGGACAAACTATCAACGTTTACGTTAATGTCAATTCACCACTCCAGCTGAACATGCAGCCGTTCGTTAGAGCGAATCCAAAAATTTAAAGGAACTATGTCACGCTAATCGCTATCTTAAAGGGACTGGTTCACGATAATGCGCATGTGTGAGTTCTGACAGTAGCTGATTGTTTTTCAACCAATCGGAAGCGAGTTAGATACACGCAAGGAGATTTACAAAATTCAAATTAATTGTTCGCGACGCGAGAGTATTTCCGGGCATTTGGTTTGAATTTATTTATCCCCATAATTCAAGTTTATTCTTTGCTACTCCTCAGATATATGTTGCAGCCGATAAGAATAAGATTTACAGCCCTGTCTTGCTTTGAAACAAACATTTACCAACGTGTATTTTTACGAGGTCGTACCCACGCTAACAAAACAGTCGCCGATCGGCAAACAAAATTTGTAAACAAACATCTTATTACTGTTCTCTCAGTTCGCCTTATATAAACCCAGAAATACCTACAAATAGCGCCTGACCGGTGACAAAAACACACAACGTATGAGTATAAAGATTATCCTTAATTGAGCATAAATTTCAATTGCTTATCAGCAAATGAACAAATTCATTCGCGTTGCATCGGGTCAATGTTCCGCAAAACAAATGTTATCGAGTAGCACACATAAAGAAACTAGATTATAAACAGAATATTCAGGCAATAATTTATTTTAAAAACATCAATTCTTAAACATATACGATCGTAAAGCAAAGATACAAGGAACATTTCAAGTGTACCAGATCGGTAAAGATCGCGCGGCCTGTTGCGGTATAACTACAGGCCGGAGTCAAAAATCAAATCAAAGTTGAACGAACTCATGCCTTTAACCACTTTCCAAGTCTCGTGTATTCTTTTCGTATGCCACACACTACTCCTAGAACCATACCAGTTCGATAGGCTAAGCTTCTCTATCTCCAGAGACTCTTGAGAACGTCCTGTTGCCGGACGGCCACGATGCTTTTCTGAACCTCTATGATCAAAACATTATTTTTTGCGTCTTCTTAAAACGCAACCAGTCAAACGACACAACCACTCGTTAATCACCACTACCGAAGTATAACTAGACCAGCCAAAGCGACGGATGTCCGAATAAAACGAAGGATTTTCAATGATTGTACCGGTAATGGCTATTTCGAATTTAGTGTTGACCCAACAAATTTATTCTGAAGAGACAAACGGCGCGCATGCGCATTATCGTGAACCAGTCCCTTTAAAGCTACAGTGTAAGACTTTTTTCTGTATCAAATGAATTTCAAAAATAATCGGGTCCAGTTTTTCCATAGTTATAGCGACACTATGGAATTGACGAATTACGATGAAGCAATATAGTTGCCGACCATTCTGTCGCAAATTTACTTTGATTACCGTTATTGACTTGTTATATACCCTCAGTTTCCGCATGGTGAGCGTCTTTTTGCCCCCATCATAGTAGTACATCACGCTCCAGTAGCGCTCTTCGGCAACAGTGACAAGTGTCAAGACCGAAGAAGCAGCCCCTACCCATGCAAAGGTGCCAAATGTATATAACACTTTTTCAGTCGCCCCATTTGGCTGAATGGATGAGTGTGTCAGGACCATATTTGGTATTGTACAGGT